CCACGGATGTATATGTAGGCCATCTAAATTGTAACCTGTCCATATAGTGGAACTAGTTTCTCCCTTTCACCCTGACGATAGAGACAGTCCTTCGAAACGTCGGTATCCGCCGGCTAGAGTACACGTCACAACCCGGAAGATCACGTAATCTGACCAGACGAGGACTTGTACACTTCTTGACGGAAACATGAACATCCTTGCAGAATAACAGAGGAAAGCTGGGGGGGGGGGCTTAAAGCAGATACCGCTCTGTTCGAGAAGGTGGGCCACAAATACCCGCGTCTCCATGGCCAGAATACGAAAACATGTTAAATAAAGTTGAAACAGTTTTGCGTTTTCAGGTCACGTGCCGACGGTTGGCGTCCCTGTTACTAAGAAGTTATGTAAGCTCGGGCGCGGTGCGCTGGTAGAAGGGAACGCCCCTTCCCCCCGGAATGCGTGTAATGTGCCCCATCTGACGCGAGCCGCAGAGATTCTCACGCTGGGAGGGGAGTGATCTTGGGACTTACACGTTTAAATTTACAGAATGTCTTTAGGGATGCAAAAAGGAAGTTGCGTGAGCCGGGATAGGTCAGTCAATGTAGCGCACGAGATGGGAGATGGGGGGCCAGATTCTTTTCCCCCTGCCAATCACAGTGGCCACTGTCTTCGCCCGCTTGAGCACTGGGATCGTGGGTTGGAATCCCACTCGAGGCATGAATGTCGGTGTGCGTTTATGCTGTCCTTGTGCAGTCCTGTGTATAGGTACGGACAGACAGACAGACGGACAGACTTTTTGCCTTTTCTACCTCGAGCAGACCCGTTGTTACCTGATACACGAAGTTCTGGCAAGAAGTAAGCACACCTGTTTATGCTTCTCATAGAAAGTTTCGGATAGTGAGACGTGTCTTGCCCTACCATCATGAGTGTAGAGTACGCATGCTTAAATCTTACCCTGAATATGGAGGCGCCACATTAGTCCGAAACGTCGGTAAGAACTTGTGGGACTACAGGGCGGCGTATAAGGGCTGTGATCCCCACAGCGACAACCGCAGGAAACTTGATCTCTCGTTTCCTATTTCCAGACTGCACGGGTTCGCCCTATAGCTGCACGAGGTTGCGAAGTGTGGCGACAGTCCCCAACGAGTTCCGCTGTACCAGGCGCACACAGATAGACACGCTCCCATTGGGTATTTTCGTGCTTTTCCTCAGAGTCTTTCCCCATAGATAAGTGGTAAGAACGCAGGGCTGCCAATGCTTACCCTCCGGAACCCAGTGGTTAGCCCACAGTGTATGTTCCAATGGCTCTCGGAATTGATATTGAGTATTTTCCGAAACGGCATTAACCGGCTGAGCTCTCTGTCATGCGACACAATCCCTGTATCAGGCCGTGGAGTCTCATGCGGTTGTGAGACGTCGAGGCACAGTCGGCTCACACATGGCGGTGAGGTCAGCCTAACGCGCCGACCGGTTTTTGTCCAAAGAGAGATCCCAGATACTCATTTCTGTTAGAGGCCGAGCGCCGTAGTGCGGCTGGAAGGCTTGGGCAAGAAAAAAAGAAAAGATCCAACGGCCTAATCTGGAATTGTATCCGAAATTAATTTATAAATCATATTTAGATTAATTTTATGCTTGACATGGTTAAAGCAGGCGGAAGCGTAAGCTTTACTATTCGGCTTTGTTGCTGATAGTTAGGTGGCAGGTGGTAATGACGGGTACCACTGCTTCAGGCAGCTTTGTCGTCTCTGCCTTATTGGAAGACAAATTTCCAGTGTTGATAGGCTGCGTATTCGGTAAATAGTGATTTAATGTGTATATGCGTGAGTCGTTAGAGGGTGGCCATAGCGAGAGATTGGAACTGTTCAGTGGTTTTGCACATTTGTTGCATTCGAGGGTGTGTATTTATACAAAGAAAATGCAAAAATGTATTTCGGAGGAAAATTATGTGAAGGTAGTGTGGAAGTAATTAGCTCAGTAGTGTCTGTCATTGCTTATTTTATATTACTGAACCATCGATTGCTACAGGAATTCAAAGTCAAAGTTATGTTACAACCAGCGGTCAATCGGTCAGTCTGCCTTGGAATAAAGCACCAATCTAAGTGCCCAAGCCAAGATTTTTATTACTGTCGGACAGTTGCGGGTTTGTTGATGTGGGGCACCCTCTCTGAAGAGAGGATGGGTCATTTACAGTTGCTGTCGGCCCTCGCCAGCTTTCATATTTACCGCCTAGGAAATATTCATAACTTAATACAATTTTTGTGATGCCCATTGTTGTGTTATGTCTTCTTCTGACTCGGCCCTATTGAGCCCTGTCCTAATCTGCTGAAATGTCATTGCGATCTGAGTCAGAGTCACTTTACGACTGACGGTTTACCGCCAATCAGTTCGTCTTGGCGCCAAGCCCCTTGAAACTCACGAACAGATCTTTTTTTTTTCAGCTTAACCCCTGCGGTCATAGCCCTTATGTAACACTCCCCGGCGAGAGGATTGGTTTGCTTCTTATGAATATGCTTGACCCTTTGTCAAGTGTACGTATGGCACTTATAGCGTGTTACTGAAAATGCTTCCTTTTGAACTGTATACAAGTCTATTGTCAATACAGGTTTTGCACAGCAGATGGTGCTTATCTTACATATCGTATGCTACAACGGCAGCTTAGTCACTTGAACGGTTGTAAGCTTGGCTACCGATAAGTTTAAGCTTTTTATATTTTCTCTGGCTTCACTTTTTCCTATACCACGAACATCTTGATTCTCATGCTTTTGTATGACTTCTGCTTGTCGCCTGCACAATTTTGTTATATGATCATATACATACGGAGGGTTGAAAGCCATGTGCACATCGCAGATCGGTGTGCGCCTTGGAAAATTGTCAGTGGTGCGGAGAACCTTGTTTTGCAGGCGCAGCAATTTTAAAATGTGGGCGTCTGCCGTTAATTCCCAGGCGGGACAAGCGTTAAGTCATTACTGATCTGATCAGTGCCTTATGGAGGGCCAGTTTAATGTAGGCGTTCATACGCTCACTTTTGAATAGGGAGTAGATTCTAATAAATGTTCTATGTGCAATGTCCATGTAACCATCATATCGAAGATCAAATCGAGCTTGCCCTGCTTATAACATCTCGGTACGGACTGCGTAGAAACCACCGTTCCTCCGTTGCTGTGGAAACATGCTTGTTTTCTGAGCCGTTACTTAGCAACGGCTGTGTATAGTTGCATATTTCGCGGTCGTTCCATAGCAGCAGGTATACATGCCACAATATGGACGCATTTGAAAGCCCTTCTACAGGAAGGAATGAGCACACAGTGTTGGGAGTTCTATTAGCGAATCGCTTTTCAGTGCTTTGGGCTACAAAGATATTTATTCTCAAGTTTGATTGCCTCGCAAGGATGCGTCGTCTAGGGGAAGTTCCGAGCGTAGCAAGACGCTATGAAAGTAAAAGGAAGAACATCTGTTCAAGATAAAATGACACACTTGTCTGCGCACAAGAATCCAGATTGGAACGTTTCTGTCAACGCAGTGTAAGGACGTGGTCCCCCCCCCCGGCGTCTGGAGAGCCGCACCCTTCCGACTGCGTCAGTTCACCAGCAAGAAAGGCACCGGTGTGCTATTTTATAACTGGCGCCAATGTGTTCCGCGCAGACGCCCAGCATTGTTGCGATTGACAGATGAAGAGCGCTGTGCGCACAGTAGCAGTACCAGTAGCAGTAGCCAGTCTTCGGCCCGTGCTTCGTCAATACCTCGCGCCACTGACGGAGTAAAGTGACAGGAGCGTGAAGCTGACATCTCACCTCCATCTAATGCCGAGGACAAGAATGGTGGAGCTATATGTCGTCATGGTATAGTGCTTAATTTAGCACAGGATCAGCTTTACCTTCACTTTTATGGGAAAATATCGTGACTGGTGGATGAGTCAGTGTAGTATTGTCACGTCATTGGGTGGCAATAGGTGAAGTTTCGATTGGGAACTGGATTTACTGGACCCTTACATACGTAATTACAAATAACTACGGGACCAAAGATCACCGTAACTACAACACATGTGAAGTGTTGTCAGTCTTCACTATCCGTTGCTTGGTAGCGGCTTCAAACATGTTGAGGATCATTGACGAGAGTTCACAGTGAAGCAGTGGAGGCGAAAGACAAGCGAGAAGAGTGGGCATCTTTTATAATGGAGACCGAGGTTCTAAGCGGACTCTAGGGCCAAAGGGCGAGTAAAAAAGTAAGAAGTGCAGCTGAGTTTCTTTGTGAGGGAATAAAGCAAAGTAGAAGGGTTCCAAAGGATTCTCAAAACTCAATAATATCAGTTCCAACTGCTGGTCGCGTCAGCATTGCGATATTGCAGTGTCGGGATCTGCTTGTCTGCCACGCAAGAACATACCCAAGATTGCCTTCAGCTGGATAAAGGAGATCCTGGATTTCAGCTTCTTGTCTTTTTATAGGTTTTGAATACCGGCTCTACAGTGGAATTTATTTTTATTTATTTTCATCAGGATTGCTTGTTATCATTTAAGTTTCAATTTTCTATTTTTTTTTGTCTTTTAGGGCTATGTTTTGCCTCATTAATTTAGATTATCGCTCAATCTGCATTAGCGAGGGTTTACTGTAATACTGTAAATACTGTACTTTAAAATAGGCCGTGGTTACTTTTCATTAGGACTATAATGGTCATTCTCCCAGCCCCGCCACAAAAAGCGTGTGCGGTAGGAAACATCGTCATATTCACATGATTGGTGGGTTTAAGGCAAATTTGTCCCTGTGCCAAGACCACCGCACTCTTTGATTGGCGTGGAGGTAATGTCCCACCCATTCTAGACGGCGTTGCGTATCGTGAATGATCAGCTTAAGAAAGAGCCCCCAGTTCCCAGTAGATAAGCGGCCAAATGGACTTCACAGCTTGACATGAGTAGAAATCTTCACCTTCTGACAATGCCAAATAATTTATCCTGTCAGAAGTTTGGAGCCACAGTCTCGTGTGTTCTTCATTTTGATTTTATTTTCTCTCTTTACTTTTCAGATTGACAGCGATTTGGTGTTCGACGACGGTACAGCCAGCAACGACTATGGTTCACACGCTGATCATCGAAAGAGCAGCAGCAGTAGTGCACGGCACCACTCCAACACCTCTCGGCGTTTCGAGAACACAAAATTTCACCAAGGAGCTTCCAGCAGCGACCACCAGATCGTGGCACCTGTAGAGAGTCCTCTTGAAGACCCCGAAGAAGTGAAACCTGACATGAGTGACGACAGTGACAGCAGTTTCTTCGGTACGCTCAGTGACTTGGGCAAGCGTGCCAAGAGAGACTGGTCCTTCAGTTGGTTCGGAGAGGAGAAGGAGCACGACTCAAAACACACCTCCTCTGCGACGGAGGGTAAAGGGTTGTTCGGTTTTAGTTCCGGAAACTTACTCGGAGACTGGTTTGGAGGTTCAGACGGATCAGATAAGAAATCTGATAGCCGTTCAGCGAAGGTGACATCTGCTACAAAATCGCCAAGTGAGACCGAACAGTCGACTGCGAGCCACCGAAACAGAAGAAGCGCGACTTCCGACAACCTCACTGATGAGGGCGCTGATGAGAGCACGACGGAACAGCTCGAGGTTGAGGAGAACGACGAATCTGACCTGACAGTCGCCGCAGCACGCAGGCGCGGCCAGTTACAGCACCACGTTTCCGATGACGAGGACTACTTCAGCGAGGCGGCGTCGGGATCTGGCATGGATGGAAGGACAGTACCACCCCCATCGGCTGTGCCTCCAGCGGACCGACAGCCAAGTGAGTACTGTGCCACTTTCTGAATGTCTACAGAGATCAAAAGAATATGTTCAAAATTGACGCGTGAATTATTGTCTGAAAGTGACGCACAACTACTTGTAAAGTAAACCTGGAACAATTTTAAACGGGGTCAGGCAGTGCGTGTGGGATACTGGTGGGAAAGCCAGGAGGAAAGAGAGCAAGTCAGGTCGGTGGGTAATATTACGCTGGATCTGAGATAGGATGGGCTGGTACGGAGTGGATTGATCTGGCTTAGGTACCAATGGATGGCTCGTGTGTACACGGGAGTGAACCTTCGGGTTCCATAAAATGCTGGAAGTTCTTGAGTAGCTGCACAACTGGTAGCTTCTCGAGAAGGGCCGAGCTCCATTAAGTGCAAGAACATGTCTGCAGTGAGGGACTGGCGAAGATGCCAAGTTCGGCTGCCGGTGCATGTCACGAGGTGTACACATCGTTGCATGGTCCTCTCGTGCTTCAGGCCTGCATGGAAGTTCATTAAGTGCAAGCTGAAAGTCGGGCTTGACGCTGGTCAGCAGAGGCCCTCACAAGGGCTGAAGTCGTCGCAGTGCATGTAGGGACGAATTATGGAACCCGCGTTGTAATAATTTCCCTTGTAACATGTCGGTCATTCCTTGGGCCCTTCTACGTGTCTAGAGTCCTTCTATTTCTGAAGAGCCATTTTCTCGCCTGCATTTACCCTGTAGTGTACTAGAGGTAAAAGTCCTTGTTCTTAACTATTTAAGCATTGTGCCATGAAGACATATGGGGGAGTGGGGGTATAGCCCAACCATTCGTGGCCTCCACACTAGATGGAGGTGAGCGGTCAGCTCACGCTCTAACCACTTTGCTCCCGTGGAAAGAGGCCCCGTTACGCATTGGTTAGGTGTTTGGATGGGCCCCAGAGCCCGTCTGAACGCCGTAGAGAAGAGAAGGATCTTGCACTGCCGCGAATCGAACCCAGACCGTCCAGTTCGTAGTCTGTCGCTATACCGACTTAGGTAATAATGGTAACGGCAACAGAATAAACGGACATCGCTGTCTTGGGAACTGTATGCGATATTGTCACGCTTATGAGTGACTACTGACGGGGTTTGGATTGGTAATCGGATTTTTGAACTCTGATAGATCCGTGACTACAAGTAATTATAACCATTTCATATTCACACACTTTACAGTTCACTAGAGCACATACATAAGTCTTCTCAGTTTGCTGTGTCTTCACCAGTCGTTGCCAGGTAACGGCTGCAGCAGTGGACGTTCCGCCTACTCTGGGTTCCTGACTTCTCCCAGTGCCTCAGCTACCAGATTCTAACAGCATCTGCTCACAAGAACTGCACTGCACACTCTCTCACTTAACTGAACTGAGTCCAGAGTCCAGAGTCAGTCAGAGTTACTTTACGACTGGCGGTTGGCAGCCAAACAGTTCGTCTTGGCGCCAAGCGCCTTGAGGATCACGACCGGAGATGTTTTTGCACCTGAACCCTTTCCGTCAAAACTTTCATGTCATATCTCTCTGACGAGAAGATGAGTTTGTCTCGTCTCACAAATTATCCTGTTTGTAACATCGACACGGACCGTACAGAGAATGCCGTTCATTTGTTGCTGTTCAGTTGTTGCTTAGCGAACCTCATAGAAGACACCCTTTGTTGTACCATTTTTGCGTTCGTGTTTGTTGGCGGAGCCATTACCTAGCAACGGGTCTGCGTGCCACAACATTATTCTGACTCCTGTCGTTCTTATCTTTCTTTGTCACCGCTCTGTGCTACTACTCCGGGTGACTATAGACGGGGTTTGAATTGATGATCCAATTTATTAGACTCTTTGATACAGAACTTGACTACATCTGAAAACTATTTTAAAATGTTTAAAATACACACTCCTACCTAGTACGTTTGTTAATCCTTTGAAGACTGAAGAGAGAGAGCGGGAAGTGTCTGCAGACTAGCTGAAATTATCAGTACAGTTAGAATGAGTCCACGAATAGTTGGTCACGCATGAAAACTTTTTTTTTTGTTATATAGTTACATTTACATAGTTACATTGGACGTAGATTTCACTGTGCCAAAGATGAAATGGCAGGTTGATTGTGGGATGTGACTGTGGATGATGAGGCATGGACCAGTTAGGAGATGTCTTGGACGAGTCGTGTTCATGTTGGAATCTGAACAGGGAACACCCAGAATACAAGTAGTACTGCTCGATTGTGACTTGTGTTTCAGGGTTCTACCGCATTACCTTCACGATCCTGGAGCCTTTCCGAGCTGAGTACTATGACAGGAACAGCGAGGCTTTCCGGCAACTGTCACAGGACCTGTCCCAAGCTGTTAATGAGCTGTACGAAAATGTGTCCGGTCGGCAGTCAGCCACAGTGATCCAAATACAGTAAGTTGATTTCAGGCTGGGTTAGAAGAGCAGTAGCGTGCACTGAGAATGTGAGGAGAGGAGAGATAGTGACAACACTGTAGTTAGTTAGTTAGTTAGAGAGGGTGGGTTTCCCCATGCACCGCGACCAGTTTGATCTATTGTGCTTCCCTCTATGATATTCTACCAGTCTCTATACCCTACCGATAAATGGTGCGTACCATCAGTCCCGCCGAGCAAGCGATTTCGGCCACTTGCTTATCGGTGTCTATAATGCTTCCCCCAGCTATCAGAGGCCTTAGAGACTAGTGTTGGGCGGGAAACGTCCTGGAATTTGGCTCAGTGATCCCCTTTGGGGATATGAGGTTCTTTTACGTGCCGTAAAGTTACGACACGGGACACACAGCTTAAAGTCCCTCCCCGAGGACTTGTTCTCACCGCGACCAGTGGTCTATTATATGTCCCCCTGTGATAGTCTACCAGTCTCTATACCCTACCGGTATTGGTGCGTGCCATCAGTCCCGACTCAGCCAGCGAGTTCGGCGTCTACTGGCTCAGCGGTATCTAGATGCCCCCCCCCCATCTACCAGAGGCGTTAGAGGCTATTGTTGGGTGGGAAATTTCCTTACACATCTCCTTGAGACATGAGGTTCTTTTACGTGCCGGAAAGTTACGACACGGGACCCACGGCTTAAAGTCCCTCCCGGAGGACTTGTTCCCTGAATTGTTCCGCCCTTAAAAATTCCACGACCTCCGCCGGGTTTGAACCCGCGTACCTTGAGTCATGAGGTGGGAACGTTACCCCTAGACTACGGAGGCCGCTTTGCATCTAATAATGTAGCACTCAATAGGTAAATTAAGACTTGCAGAAATGCAGTGTTATGAAGGATAGCAAGTGAAGAGTGATTGACAGGAGAGCAGTCAGGAATGATTATAACGTTGTAAAAGTGAAACCGTTTGAAAATAATCTCTTAGGACTGCCGAAGTCTGCCTGGGTCTGTCTGCAAGGCGCTTACACTTTGCCTGTCAAGGACCCAATTACTGGTGTCTGCCAGTAGCAGCGCTGAAGACAACACTGGGCAGAAACATGTTAGTTGTGACAGTTCAGGGTTCTGTCCATTAGTTGCAGACATTTGTGGAGGTTGAATGTTCCTAAATTGTAAACATCTTTACATGAAAATATCAGCATAAATGTATGTTTTTTGACATCGTCTATAAGTATTTATAAAAAAAAAATACAAACTCTGTGGCCTGTAGTCCGCAAGCGAACTATACCGACTGAGCGACTGTTGCTTGTCGGCGAAGCTAGTGCCAACTTTAGCGAGTAGAGGTGTCGCGTGGTCAGTGCAACGGATCCCCACGGCCGTTAATTTCGCTTCACTAGACCGGTATAAGAATTTATATGCAATTAAAAATTACCCCTTGTTTTTGAACCTCTGTTTAACAACACTTTACAGCACTCTTCACACAGTGTTAATTATTTCTTGTAGTGAGTCCTTCTGTTTGCTTTGTTTAGGCAAACTGATGAGAATTTCAGCAGTTTGGTCACACTGGACCTTGGTACAATAGACAACTATAATGAAAATCAGTTGAGAGAGCGTCTCTACACACAGATTGCTGACTACCGCAGGCTTGGAGGAATTTCAGCTTCAGAGAAAAACTTCAACTTCAGGTCATTTGGAGGTACTTATCATGAACAGTGAACACAGCTGCCCTTCTCCCAGTACTTCTTTGTATAAAGTTCTGATTTCTTGCTTTTCAAAACCTCTTCTTCCTATGTTATTCATTCAGTTCAGTATTGTAGTGTTGTATCTGTTGTTGCAGTGGCAATGTATTTCTATACTTTTAATCTACATATTGCTTACAGCTATGTGAAGATAATAGTAAAATGAATTTTAGAGAAACACTTGATGAGACTAGAATTGGAGAGATAAGTCCATACAGGAAATTGGTCAGGAAACCGCTTGGAATGAGATTACTTAGGGGGATGGGAATGGTACATGCAGATAATATGAAGATGAATCTTAGAGAAATAGGTTGTCATTCCAAAGAAACCAGGAGGAACTGGTTATGTCATGAACAGTTATGAATTGTTTGTGTGCTGGGAACTGATTTATCATGAGATTTGCCTCAGAATTTGTGCTGACAGTTTCTTTCAGGTCTGTATTACATGTACTGAAGCTGATATCTACCGTCCACTGCCTGCAAATCATAAACAGACTTTTCCCACATGAACTGCATTGCTTGCAGTGCTTTTAAGAAAAACTTCCCTGTTGTTAGGACGATGAGATCAGGGAGGATGAGGCGGACAGGGCATGTACTGTTCATGTGAGAGAAGAGAAATTGATATGAAGTTCTGGTAGGAAAATCTGAAGGAGATAAGTCTAAATGGGAGTATAGTATTGAGACTGATTTAAAAAAAATGGGGTGGTAAGATGTTTACAGGGTTCGTGTGGCCCAGGATAGAGATCAGCTGTGGGTTGTTACGGTCATGATAAAGTTTGGGGTTTCATGAAAGGTTGGGGATTTCTTGATTAGCTGAAGAACTATTAGCTTTTCTAAAAGGAGGACTATGCCCCATGGAGTCCTGTCAGTACACTGGTTGTAACGAATCAGAAACTCTCAATTTTCTTCACAGAAATCATAAATGAACTTCGTTCTTGCCATGAATATTGGCCACAGTTTTAGAGTTTTATCAGTTACAAATGAATTGTGTCAGATGAAAAACAGTTTTCTTTTGCGTCATCCAAGACATTTCAAGTAGCTTCAGTGTATTAACTCATCTCCATGTATATTTCTGCTTTAATTGTAGAGTGGTCGGATGACGGTGAGTTACACGCAGGATTACTGAGTTTCTGGACTTCGTCCATCTTCTGGTATTCTAAAATACAATATTTTGGAAACTAAATATGTTTGATGATTGAGATTAGCTTTCTCCAGTGCCTCTGCCTATGAAGATAGCTCCTAATTCTTGTGCTTGAGGATGGAAACATACCCAGTTTCTGAACTATCATAAGAAGCATAGTAATATCAGATGTTTCTGCTTTCTCATCATCCATTAAAGTATTTTCCCCAAGAAACTCATAACATTTTTGATTAATTCTGGGGTTACATAATGGTACAACTGTGAAGTACAAAGATTTAGTGTGAATTAAAATGGGATTTGTTGTACAGTAGTACATTGCCACTCTTGAATTATTACATTTGATTTTATTATTTTATGTTTTCTCCTCAACCTGTTACCTACACAGGCCCCCCTCCCCCTCCATGCCAGCCAAATGAGACGGTATGCCGCAGTGGTGAGTGCTTGCCACAAGAAACTCGCTGCGACGGAAAGAGAGACTGCAGAGATGGCTCAGATGAATTTGGCTGTAGTAAGTACCCTGGGCTAGTGCTTTAAGTACAGGCCCATGCTTGCGAATATGCACACCACAGGTTTTCAGTAGGATTTTGTATAGGATTTGTTGAGATGATAATGGATCCTGTTTACAGCTGCAACCAATTTGTCAGAAATATAATGCTAAGAGCCTCTGTATGTCAGTTTCAGATTTCATAAAGATATCATTCAAATGCCATTGAACATTCATATTTTATTACAGTAATACCTGTAGAATGAAAATATAAATTTGTCCCCATCATCTGCCATATTTTATACTGGCAAAACATGTGAATCCCTGTAATTCTCACGGTATCATATACATTAGATGATAATGATAATGATGATGATGGTAGAAGTGCCCGACAAGCTATAGTGATTTCATAATTGTTGCAGCATAATGTTAGAATGATTAAAGTAGCATAACACGTCAACTTCTGGTCTATGCTGATATTACATAAAGCAGAACCAAAAACACTTTAAAATAGAACGCAAATCTTTATTAGCAGTTGGTAAGTAGGTTGGTATAGAAATAAATACAAAAACTTCAAATTGTATGTTTGTTTATCTCTCATAAACGGAATGCAAGGCAAAATCTAATACAAAGTCAGTCATAAAATGACTGGAATGTGGAAAAATTTAGGTATATGAAAATCGCGGTAATAAATTAAAATTAAGTTTATGATAATGCTAAAAGCAGGTTAACTCTGTTATTTCTTGCTGTTTTTAGTTCTGAACGTGTCATCTTTTTGCGTCTTGCCAAGAGAGACTGAAGATTAAACTAAGACTAATATTAGATGGGCCTGCTTATACGCACTTTTTTTGTTTCTTAATTTGGTTTCATGCTATCATATTTTTGGGAAAAGTACATACTGAAGAGTTTATAGGATGTATATGATATTGTTAGCGTGCTTAAGGCCAGAGGGATGAGCTAGGCAAGACATGTAGAATGTGTGGGAAGCATTAGATATGCATCCAAAATTTTAGTCAGATATTTGCCCTTGATTTTTATTTGTGAAACAGAGGTTTTAATGATTAATTGTATTTTACATTTAGTGTTACTCATGTGTTGTGTACAGTGATTCAGACAAATATGATGCTGGAATATGTTTGAAATACATGATTGGATCTAGTCAGTACCTTCGTATTTCGAGTGACATGTATATTATTCACATATAAATGACTTGAAGCTTTGCTTTTCATGAGAAAATAGTACTTAATATTTATTCATTGACAGATTTTAATTTATTAAGCATTCTTAATGTGATTATTATGCAGAACAGTAAAGATTACATTTATCAGAGTTCAAGGTCCTACATTTTAATTAAGACTTCATTATGTGGGAACGATATATGTATATACAATTTTGCTTTAGAGATTCTGTGAGTGATTACTGTCATATTCATACAACTTCTTATTTCAGGCGAAGATAAGACAAATTCATTTTGTACATATGTGAAATTAATGTTTAACACTCATGTGACAATAATATATTTAAAATGTAGCTAGTAGTGTGTCATAACCATTATTATTAATGATAGTGTTCTGAGTTTGTTGGTAACTAACTGTTAATTATAATATTTAGTGTAATGATTTGTATTATATTAACTTGTACATAGTTTGCTTAACACATAAGTGAAATTAAGTTTTATATAGGCTATGATGTATGTGAGGTACATAACTGCATACCATCGTCACCCAAATATACATAGTTACTTCCCTGACACTTTTTTGATCAGCATTGGCAAATGGAAATGCTAAAGGATGATGGTGATGGTTTTTAGTGTTCAGAGAAAACTATTATCACTTTTTCTGTCACAGTATTAAAATTTACGATTCTAACCACAACTTCACATGACTCCTAAGTAGTGACTTTGAAAAATTTATCTTGTTTTGTGTAGAAATTTTTGTGAAATTGAAATGTAAGTATTATGAAGCATAATGTTCCTACTGATGCTTTCGGACCTTGGTGGCCTAACAACATTCACCTTCCAAGCGTTTCCAGCTAAATTTACATTGAATCCAGAAATGTTTCACTAAATATGAGAGCAATTTTGGAAAATTGATCAAGACACTCTCATAATCTTGCAGATAAGTAGACTTTGTATAAATACTAGTAAAGATTTGGTATACGTTTGATGTTTGACACATCTCAGACTTGGTGAATACAATTAATTGACAAGTTCAGTTTGAAGTATGGTTGAACAGTCATTCTTTACTGAATTAGTGGGTTATAATAATTTCCTTTTAGTATGTTAGAAAGAGCTGACAGTTTTGCTCGTTGTAAACTTGGCCCTCAGGTGAAAATTTGGTGTATAGGAAGTCATTGAATTTTAGAAATTCTGATAGAAGGAAAATAATTATACTAATTTGTCACGAGTAGTGCACCTGATGATAAAGCTGATACTTTGATTTTAATAAGGATGTATTCCATAATCTGTCGAATGTATTTAAAAAGTTTGTTGCTATTAATGGTCTATTTGGATAAATGGTATGCTCATCTAGTGGCACCACTGTGTCTCACATGGGAAAAAGATTGCATTCCACTGCTGGCAGCTGATCCCATACCCAGTTGTATTGGCTTTGAGTCCAAGACTTTTGCTGACATTAGGAACTTAAAACACATTTAAAAGTCAGGGTCCTTAATAACTTTCCTCCACCACCTATAAACATAATCCTCAGCCCACCAAAATATCTTAACTCACATAGTATGTACAGGATATTGTGAAGCATGTGATTGTTGTGTTGTGTTCTTAGTATGTAGAGACTGTACCCTTCCCCACATGTCTTTACTGTTGCATGTTCCACTGTGTGGTTGGAGAAGAGATATGCATATTGTGGTTATTTTATAGTTCTGTATTAAAGTTGTAATGCACCCTCCCAGCTTCTGCATGCTGAAATTGGGAAAACATGAAAAGGCTGTGAGGATAATGAGGTCTTGGCCATAATTGAAATCTGATGTCTTCAGGTTACAAATGCGGCATACATATTGCATTAAGAAACAAACTGTGAGTGGGTTAAATCTTGCCAATATATTGGCATGTTCAGAGTACATCTTCTCATACAGTGTTCTCATACAGTGTTTTTGAACTGGAATTCGGTTAAATCTAATTGTGTAAATTTCACCTCGAGTTCATGAGCAGACAGTTGTCCTCCCTAAGTAACTTTTGAGATGGCCTGGAGAGAAAATACCATCTTTGTCAGTTCCTCTCTTGTTAGCATACATTTCCTGCACCACGTGTTTGTCCCCCCTGTTGTTGCTAGGCAGTGCTCAGTAAACATGTTCCTGTTACAAAAAATGCATGTGCAACCAACGTTTTGGATAAATATATTGCTTCCATTTTCAGAGTTGAAGAATAAGCCAACCTGCTTCATCTGGTTTACTGTTGGACACATAATTTTCTCTGAGTCCATGTCATATTAAAGGAAAGTAGGGGATTAGTTCTTCCCAGAACTTAAATGTTTTATGTTGTGACATTTTATCCTGGATTGCAAATATCTGTAATTTTATAGTTTTATGATCTGATACTATAATCTCTCTCATACATATCTCCACAGCATGAAGTAAATCTGTTACTCTGAAAATAATTTTATTTCAGTTTTCACAAAATCATAACTTTGAACCCTATAATAGAATATAGACAGCCAAGACTGAAAACTTCTTAAAACTTCAGTTGAATTTCTTTGGTTGCTTTCTTATTTAAGGTTCGTTTTGTTGTTCCTCATATCCCTTGATACTGTGCTCTTTTATTATTTATGTCATCGTTGTCAACACAGTTGCTGCATCCTAAATCATTTTAGTAATTCACTTTATTGCTTTAGTTTCTGAAACCAATTTGTTATAATTGATCTCTTTCTTCAGAATTCATATCTAAAAGCAACAAAAATATTATGCTATTTTCTATCATAATGCCTTGCAGTACAAACACAATATAAAATTACCTTTTCTCCTCAGCGCATTTGTTTCTTCAGGTTTGAGCCATCTCAAATTTTTGGGTACATATATTAGGTTTCTATAGCATGAATTTCATAAAGCGGAGTGGCCTGGATAGTTTTTGTGTATAGTGTCATCATGAATGTCTCCACTAATCTGTTTTTCATTTTGAAAATATTTTATATATTATGTGTGTGTTGTCTGTTATTTTAGGATTTTCATGTTAGCTTGCATGAACAGTCATGAATTTGTTAGATTTGAGGTTCTGACAACAGCAGATATGGAGATACTAATCTTCTGGGAAGTGAGGCCATGTTGTCTGCAGTACTTCGAGTTTATATCTGACAGTTTAACATGTTGGAAAGCATGCCCAGAAATGCATCTGTAAACAGTATGATTCATTTTTACATGTTATTCAAACCATATATGTGTGTGTGTGTTTTTTTTAAGTGTCTAGGAAAGTAAGAATCATAAATTCTTCTCAGAACTTTTCTCATTATCATGTTTCTCACTTAGAAGAAAACATTAGCTTTCACAGTAGTTTGAAATTGTATTGCGACAGACTGAATGGTCACTGCCATTGAGACCACTTTTTCTCTTGTCTTCTCCATTCCTTTTGTTATGCAACAGTTCTGTCAGTATTGAGACTGTGTACTGCTGGTGATAAGATGAGTAATGAATGCAGAGCAGTTGGTGGATTGAGAATTGACAGTGAGAACTGCAGTTTTTGGAGAATATCGCCACAATGCCATTTTGTCTGCCATACGAGTATATCCCACTTGACCTTTTCTGGAAGTCAGTGACTAACCACCTAAGCTATGGCATGGTCACTTCTAGAATGTAGGTGTCCCAGCATGACTCACATTACATGAGAGTCAGTTTAATAAATGATGGATTAACTGATGTAAATGAAAACAGGAGAAACCAGGGCCCTACATAAGTACAGCACATATATAGATACTGCTGAATTGGAACAGGCTCTCTGAGGCATATGCCTCTGTTACCACTTTCTCTCCTTCCGAGGGTGTGCAGCAGTTAAGAGTATAAAGTTCATCATGTTTTGTTATGTCTGCCTGTCATCTGTCTAGTCATCTAGAAGTCATAATGTCACTCTAGAATCTAGATGATAAAATTTTAAATTTGAAGTTTCTCTTAAGGCCATCATGCGAACTGAATAGGAGGCATTAGATTCATGACTGTGCTGGGCACACTGTTCAGTGATTGGTATTATTGTAATGTTTATAGTATTACAATTTATAATCTGATTTTAATTTTCACTTCAAATTTAGCAAAATGAATTGCTGCTTTACAGTAAAGCCTTAATATAATTTTTGTGGATTATGATACAGTGTTGCCAGTAGCTGAACTACACAGCTTTGAATGGCATGATGATCAAAGAATGCTGAATGACTTCGTAGGAATTGTGAAAGATTTGAAAGAAAGCAGATATGCATCTGAGGAACCTATGCAAATTCTGGGATAGGGACCTTGGATTTCCTCAACACTCTTCAGAGATGTTTCAGTAAATAAATTTGTATGAGTCTAAAAGTGTGTCAGGTAAAGTTGAATTCTTTGGCATTCCACTTATATTCAGTAAAATATTCTCATCAGTTCAGAATACAAGTCCAAATTTCCTGATATCCTCTCTGTATCAATCAGTCAGAATCATGGTGTCATTTGCTGATGGCGGAGGTGAATGTGATCTCTGAAACTTGAGACATGCTTTGAATTTACATGACTGGCCAGGTCAGAAGAATTTATTTATCTCTCTTAGTCTCTTAATGCTTCTGGTATCACATTTTAATTTGCTATGTCCTGATGTTACTAGACAAGTTTATTTGATTATGTGTATGTGTACAGGCACACGCACGTGTGCACACATGTTATGTATCAGACTAGTCCCTGTTACTGTGACTTCAGCATTTCTGTGTAGTTAGGCATGTTGTGTTGATTGTGTCCTTACAAAGGCTTTCCAGTAGTAATAACCAGATGTTGACATTAATTATTGTTACGTTTATTTACAAGAATGGTGCCTTTTTGTGATATACTATACAGTTTGGCTTCTGTTGAGCACATGCATGTTATCTTCTTTATGTTGCCTTGACCATTCATGTCACTGTAAACTTCATATAACTGTGATTCAGTTGAAAACCATATCTTAGCCTGGTATAGGAAAAATACTGGCCTTCTTTGTCACATAATTAGGCAGCAGCCAAAACTTAAGGGTCCCTGAGTGTGTTTTAAGGGCTTCTTGATAACGTTTTGTTTGTTATGCCAGTGCCAGAAATTGTGTGTGAAACATACGTTTGACTTGAATATGAATGACAGTATCCCGGTCTGTGTAGTTAAATAAGTGTCCTCTTAGGATAGTGCTGAATGTGTTGGTCATATTGCATTATTGTAATTGTTATGTGTTGTACAGTTGCAGATTGGCATGTGTAAATATTCTCCTGTCCCCATTGCAGTACTGGCTGGACTCATGGATTGGTCTGATTCTTGTCTTAAAATTCCTGTTGTTAAGAAAATGTGCTTTGTCTCCATTTTGTCTACCTTATAAAAATTACTGTCACACATATCCCTTCTTCAACCTCAAAAATGTCAATTTATATCATTATTTTCTTTACCATTGCAAAATTTATGAATATAATGTTTGTCTTATGAATGTATGTGTGATCATTTCAGTTAGGGCTATCAAGAAAGATGGAATTACACTAATTTACTTTAGAAGGGCAAGTAGTCAGTAGGATCTCTTGATGGTTGGCATTTATGATGTGTAATAAATATTGTTCATCAGTAAAATGAAATTAAAGAGTTAACTTTTTCATATACTCGTAGTGTTTGAATTGATGGGAGATCCATACTAGCAGCTTCACTGCTCGTGTATGAGGACGGTTGCTGGACAAATATGTTTCCCAAAGTTCTGGCAGAGGTCATTATTTTTCAAGGAAGTCAGTGTTTCTGTGATTAGAAATCAAATCACTATCAAAATTAATTTTAAGGCTTGCATTATCGAAGTTGCCAGTCAAATAATGGTGGGATGTTAACTGCTTTGCCATTGGTGCAGTGAAGCTCATGGGGGGGGGGGTCATCACATTCCTTATAGATCATGACTGAAGTGAAGTTACTAATTTAGGTGGTGTGATGTAACTGATAGAAATGTGTGTGCGAGAGGCCCCCGGAAAACAGATCTAGAGCCCCGCCAGTGTCTGAGCATGAACAGGGCATGTGTTGTTGTAGCATGTTATCTGTCTCCCTCTCAGTTCCCACATCAACATCCCCAGCTAGTACAGCGTTCCCAGGAGGACTCCCACCCACCATCGACCGGTGTCGGGCCGATGATAAGGTCCGGTGTGCTGATGGAACCGTGTCTATCTGCAATGTGCAGTTGTGTGACGGCGTACCGGACTGTCCCAGTGGAGATGATGAAGCCAATTGTCCCCCGGAATCGGGTACAGATATTTCTGGATATAAGCTTGTTATGAGTTCTGTTGGACCAAGTGTCTCTGAGTTTAGACATGCTGCCATCTTCAGGGTATTCTTTCTCATTATTCAGGAACCAAGGTTGTGGAGTCCCCATGAAGGATTGTGTGTTGATTTTGGTCCTTCAGGTTTCATAGGGACAGGAGAGTTGTTGTTAAGGTTGAATGACACTCATTTACTGAAGGAAGACAGTATTATTATAGTTCTCCTTTCCTTGAGACTTAGGGAGTGTATGCCAGCCAAAATCAGTTCAGAATGTATTTTTCAAACGTGAATTTGCAGATATTGAGGGCCTTTATGGCAGTGTTCTGAAGATAGAGTTTGGATCTGTGGCAGACGAAGTTAAAGTGAGTGGAGGAGATTACCATTACCAAGGAATTTTATGATTTGCACTCTTTGATATTATTAGGGTGATTAGCACAAGAGGAGGAGGAGAGTATTGATGATTGATGACTGATGATTATTTGGGGGAGGGGGAGGGTCATACGTTGCATAAGGGATAAGCAAAAACAAGAAAAGTCTGCATTGGTAAACCTTGTGGGAAGAGATCATAATTAAAAAAAAAGATCTTAATGAAATGCATTCTGAGAATGTGAACTGGATTAAAACTGTTCAGAACAGATTTTAGTTATGACTGCGATGAAGAATCTTCAGATTCCATTGGCTGAGTGACTGTTGCTGTCTGCAAAACACTGCATCCTGGGATTAGTTAAGATTGAGGTTGAACCTTAGACATCCCAGCACTTGCTTGGTACCACATCCGTTAGATATGTGAGTGTCAGCGGCATCGCATAATTCTTTGGCATTGAATGGCTACCAGGTTTGATTGTAACAGCTGGCGTAAGTTACTCATGCTTTATACAAGTGCACAGCCCCATTCTCATTGGATGTGTTGGTCAGTTGTTTGAACTGCTGTGGATTGAATGGGATGCCATACAGACTAAACTGTACATGGAAGATAGTAAACATAATGTGACATGACAACTGAAAGCTGGAATAGTTCGTTGCTAAGCAACGGCTCGGTAAACAGGTTCCCACAGAGAGGAACACACATGCTAAAATAGAACCCGTTTCTAAGCAACGGATCAGTGAACAATAGGAGTATTGTTGGAAACGGCGTTTTCTATTCGGGCCATGCAAAGGGATTATAAAGAAGAGTTCAGTTGAGTTTTGGAGTTCCTAGTGAGCAGTAAGTTGAGAGTTGAGGGAGACTCTTTAGACGGCAGTCGAAGATGATGGAGACTCTTGCCACTGAAACAACAATAAAATAATGCCAGGTGTCCTGAAAGATACTAAGTAACCTCAGTAGAGTCTGCCCACTGAAAGTGAAAACCCCCCTGAATTTAAATTACCAAACAGTTTACCTTTGCAGACCACAGAGAGACTGGACTGCCCAATCAGGAGGCAACCACAAACTGAGAAACCGTAACAACTTTGAAGTTTGGCCTCTTGATGCCAGGTACCAGAAATCAGCGGAGCTCAGAAGGGCTGTTACTTTGCAACTGAGGAGGGGAATGCGAATTGAATGGAGAATAGGGCAGTGGAGGCACATGTGAACTGGATCGGTAGCCTGAGTTGTGAACAAGGTAGAGAAGTTCACACTAGGATTACTGATTGACTTATTGGTGGTGTTCAGTTTGGTCGAGTTTGCACACTGAAAAATATTTCCCCATCTTTAGTGTCAAATGTAGGTATTTTGTGTATATTCCTACTTGCATTTGTCTTTTGTTGGAACCTGTTCAATAGGAACCACATTTTATTGGATTATGACATGAACCCATTCTTCCCATTGGTCAGTTACTGATTGGATGTTATGTTATGAAAGGTCAAACTTTTTCATTGTGTTTTTATAGTAACTGTGAGCAGTGAAGCAGTTGTGTGTAATTGTTGCACATTCCAAACATTTTCATCCGATGGATATTGAATTCCAGCTCTGGTGGCATCTTAGACTTGCAAAGAGCATGTGTAATAAACGTAAACATTTGTAATTATAAGCATCCAAAATGAAGGAGCACGCGATAGTGTAGTTGGTTGAGGCACTATCCTACAAGCCAGAAGGTCACGGGTTCAAGTCATGATGAGGTCATTGGATTTTTTTTTTTCAATTGACTTAATCCTTCTGGCCCTGGGGTTGACGCAGCCTCTAACAGAAATGAGTACCAGGAATATTCTTGGGTGTAAAATGTGGCTGGCTCGTAGGGCTGACAGCCTTGCTGACATCTATGAGCCGATTGTCTAGAAAATGTGGGAACCTTAACATTTCGCAATCCTATGGGCCTCCATGACCTGTTACAGGGATACCTTTACTTACTTTTACTTTTTAGCATCCGAAATGAAGAATATGTTTCTATATTTCAAATCGATTGAAATGATTAAAGTCTCTTATGCATGTTTGGCACAACTTACATGAAGTCACACTTTCACATGCATTCTTTTTACCACCTTAATGTGTGTGTGCATACATTTATATATATTTAGTCCTGTATTGTCACTACAGCATGATGCATCCTCAGGTTATGGATGGCGGTTAGTTTGGAATATACTGAGTAAGCAGTCAAAAACAGCTTAGTGGGGAATGAGCTAACAGCTTCTTAGTGTAAAAAGGTACAGCATCTTATGAAATGTTATATTACACAGGGACCTTTATCTGATAGGCCTCATGAGCACCGTAATGAGCATGTTGTGAGCAGTTGAGTGAATGTGATTATCTGAAGATGGGAGCAGGTCACAGTTCAGAAATGCTGTGTGCAACAGATACTCTGACATAAAGATACTGCGTGAATTACATTTAACATGTGATGACATAATCTGTGTTTAGACATCATTAATCTGTTGGTTGTGTCTGGTAAAATTACATCATAAAAGGGAGTTAAATAAGGCAAGATGATGGAATATTTACCAGAACAAGGATCTGACAAAGGCATCAGGATTTTTCTCTAAGTTGACTTTAGTCTGTGCCTTGCACTGGTTTTTATCCATTGGTGGCTTCATGTTAGCAGTGAGAGAAGCAAACCGTAACAGAATGTCTGTAATACAAATTCCTAAGAAATTTAATATAAAGACAACAGTAAATATATTAATGTAAGACTATATCAAAATTTATGTGAGTATATGTTTAATTTTAAATGGGTGTGTTGATATTGTCTCTGGTTCAGTTCTTTTGGCAGGATCTGTTTTATCTTTCATTTCTAGGCAATGAAATTGGATTAATAGCACATAATAATGTGCAGCATGTTATTAATTACAAATATGTTAAAAGAGATCTGTAATGTTGATGGTTGTTGGTGATTGTAGTAGTAGTACTGACAGTGGTAGTAGCAGTAGTGATAATAGTAATTATTATTATTCTTATTACTTATGTTTTTACTACTGCTAGGACCACTGTTGTCTGCCTAGCAAAGTAGAGGACTTAGATTTCTGATTGATGACATTGCCAAGGAGAATTTTATAGTGAAGGGAGGTAGAGTAACAGGACAGTGAGGAAAATTACGTAGTGAAAGGCTTCACAGTTTGTACTTCTAATATGTTTTTCTGGTGATTAATTTGGTAATGGAGAGATGGGTAGGACAGAAGAAAGAGAAGGACTTCTTACTTTGTGACCAGCCAAGCGTTGAGTCAAAAATGGAGTCTCGAACTTACAGATCAAGGATACGATAATATAGAGCAGTGCAGAATGAAGATTACTGGGTGAAAATCCAAGATACTTGGAGAGAAACCTAGCCAGTGTCTGCCCACCTGAGCTGTGGCCGGGTCTGAGAGAAAGGAGTAATGTGTAGACATTGTGATTACCTTACAAGAAGACATCATTTAGAACAGCAGATCATTGATATGATACAGATATTTAGGATATGGCTAGATATAGTTAGGTTAATAAAATCATGGAGGTTGAGATAGTGAAATTTTGTAGCACACACGTGACAGGTGACAAAGACTGAAGAGGTACTTTGTGAGAGACCTGGGCACAAGGTTATGGACTCAGGCTGGGTTCCAATGGTGGACACTTATGAACACAGAAACGAACCACGGGGGTTCAGTTAATTTTTGCTGTGCTGAGTAGTTTTTCAAGTCAGAATCTGCTGCATGGACTTAACTCGGACGTAGATGGGACAATTGTGTTAGCAAGTTATGTTGTTATGTGATCTGGATTGAAGTGGGCTGGCTGAGGATTGATAGTGGTAATCTTGAAGTCCCCACTTCAGACACACCAAGATATTTCTGATGCATTACCCTGTGACACTGTGTCCAGTGAATCAGTGCCTGAGGATACAGAGTGGCTGTTGGCAGCGACACAGATATTATCGTGCGTGTTTGAGATGGGCCATGTTCTGTGATGACATCATGATACCCTAGAGTTTATGACTGATTCCTTGCCACAGATGTTATATATTGTTTGATATGAGAGTTATGTTTAATACAGTGTTTCTGGAGTTGCATGGACCACTTTTGTTGTCAGACAGCTGTGACTTTACTGGTCAGTAGGATGCCAGCTTAGTAATTAATTGTGCTGGGTTTAATCAGGCAGCAGTAAATAATGTCTCATTGTGACACTCAAAGAGGATGGAAGCAGTGGCAACACAGAAGCATATTACATATACCTCTGTCCTGATCAGTGTCAGAGATAAGTGTAAATATTACATATACATTGTAATTGACTATGGCCATTGTAACTGCTGCAAAACGAGTTTCTTGGTCCCTTAACAAAAGTGCATTATTGTTTGTGGTACAGAGGAAAGTTGGTCTTCGTTTGATAGTACAGAAATAGTTTTGAGATGTAATTTGATTTTAAGTGATGACTTTTTTGATGATGGCGACGAACCCTCGAGTTTTATATATTGTCAGGAATTTCTTGAACATGTAGCATGTAGAACTCTAATTTTAAGATTTTGTAAGGTTTGTTACCCCTGCCTGAGCACCAGTAACACAATGACTGTGTGGACATTCACAGAGTGTGGTGAAGGAGAGTTCATTTGTGACATGATACGATGTATCTTGGGATCAAAACGCTGTGATGGACACCCAGACTGCTCCGATGGTACAGATGAGCAGGACTGCCCACCTCCACCCGTTGGTAAGTCCAGAACACTTGTAGTTCTTTGCTTGAAGCATGCATCTAGCTTTTAGGAGTGTAAGATGGAATGCTTCAGAATGAATGACAGGATACTGGGGACCTTCTGCACACATGTATGTTGAAAGGACGGTTGTGCACATCCCTGCATAGATCATCTTGTAACAAGTAGACATCATTGAAAGAGACCCAGGAATGCAGTTATGATTGAATGAACTCTGCTGTCTTGATAAGTGCATGTTGAAAACACAATTTTTTTATGGTGTCCAGGTTCGTGCTCCAGCTAGTTGTGTGATGTACATTCTACAAACCAGAAGAGATTTTAGGACTAAGCTAAGATGCCACATATTTGTGATTTGAATCTAGGTGCTGTCATTGCTAGTTGCCATATGTAAAGGTTGATTTTGGGTTTGGTGGTTTCCAGCCTGAATGTTGCTTGCCTGCACAAAATGCATGACAAGTGACACTTCCAGTACACTTAGCTGTGAAGTGGTTTGATGTTTTCTAGTATATTCCTTAACTATAACATGAAATGACGAATTTTTGTATCGAAGTAAGAGTGAGTGGTGGGGTTCTGTGCATGTCAGAGCGCGACATTGCAATGGACCACATGACCCATAATTTCAACAATAAATTGTCTATGGCCATTGTGTTCTTGGACATCAAAAAGGCCTTTGATGTCACATGGCACTCTGGCTTGCTATGTAAGTTACCTAAATTGGAATTCTCAGCCAGTTTGATCAAGCTCATTAGCTCCTTTCTTCCACAATGCAAATACAGTGTTTTGGTAGAAGGCTAAATGTCTATGCCAAGTGAAATTTGAGCAGGGCTCCTCAGATTTTTGTTCCATCCCCTACTTTGTGCAATATGTGTATAAATGATGCCCCCGAAACACCTGGTGTTTACCTAGCCCTCTTTGCTGATGACACTTGTCTGTACCTGAGAGATCGCAAGGAGGGTTTTGTTGTCTGAAAACCCCAGTGTGGTCTCAGCTCAGTGGAGACCTGGTGTGAGCACTGGAATATCGAAATTAATGAAGATAAGATCTACTTCTCTCGCAGTCATCCGCCTGTGTCTCATCTTACATTGAATGGAAGATATATTCCATTTGTAGATAGAGTAAAATATCTCGATGTAATCTTCGATTAGAAAGTTACATGGAGTTTACACATAGAATTGATCGAAGCCAAGGCTTTCAGAACATTTATTAAAATATATTCCCTATTCAAAAGTGAGTGATTAAGCTCTCATCTTAAATTGACCCTCCACAACACACTCATTAGGGGTATCATGATTTATGCTAGTTCTGCCTGGGAGTTTGCGGCAGACAACCATCTACTGAAATTACAGCGCCTGCAAAACAAGGTTCTCCGCACCATTGGAGATTTTCCAAGGCGTGCACCGGTCTGCAATTTGCACATGGCTATCAAACTTCCATATATGTATGATTATATAACAAAATTATGCAGACAACACGCAGATGTCATACAAAATCATGAAAATGCAAATGTTCGCAATATTGGACAAGGCAAAACCTAGATGCAAGAAATATAAGAGGCTTAAACTTGGCGACAGTCAAGCATACGATTGTTAACTGACTAGACTGCTGTTTTAGCAGGCGGTACTGACCCTGGACTTATAGAGGCCTTGTATTTGTTGTATATACATACATTTAATAACATGTAAAATTTAAATTGTACATACTGACAACAGACGTATTCCTGTTGGCTGTGACTCTGGCAAACGACAGACCCTTCCTGTCGTCATAGAGAGCTCGCTGCAACAACAAAGCTTGCAACTCTCTGACAATAATGAAGAGGTGTTCTTAAGCCCCAGATTGGTGCTTTATTGCATGTCCGACTGACCTTCGTCGTAACAAAGCTTTGACTGTGAGAAATTATCTTCATCTTAATTATTCACCCTACATATCAACAATGTGCAACAGTCAGTTCTTCGAACAGAAGCCGTCTGTATATTCTGTACAAGTACAATAAATATTTATATGTAACAGTTTAATAAGTGGTTATCTCTAAATACAGCAACATCCCATGCATGTTTATACAACACTTCTAAAGGCGATTTAATGTTTGCACAGTGATGTTCAAGGCGGTTTGTATGTTCATGCTACAATGCTGAAGGTGGTTGCTACCGTTTCTGTACTGTCTGCTGTGTCTAGATCATGCCCATACATCAGTGCACAAAGCCAGTCAAGTCCTGAAGTACGGACGCCGCTTTTTGATTAAATTGCGGTTGAAGGAGGAGGTAGGGGGTTTCTGAAGTCTTGAACAGAGGGTTGGCGCTCCTTGTTAATTATCGCGGCCGCCTGCCTCCCAATCAGGTTATGCAAATTTAAGTAGCCTGTGATAACTTCGTGGCTTTGGAAACCTCAAGATCTGTAGTAGCTTGGTTTTCCTAGCGAGAGAGGGTTTGCAGTGCACCCGTGACCGGGGCCAACTGACTTGCATCTTCGAAAGGTCGTGAGCACCGTTGTGGTGACTGGAAGTAGGATGCGTCGCGTCTGTATGCCTTGCACGATGGCACTTTGTGTGAGTCTCGGTGCCTTCCAAGTCAAGTGCTGTTATGAGTAAACAGAAATGCACATGAACGCTGTGACAGGAAAGTCAGTACGAATATGGCGACCCTGCGAACTTAGAAAGTGTCCCCTAAGTTACTGTCAACATTCTTTGTGTACTTGTGCAAGTTTGTGCTCTTGATGAGCGCCATACAGAGCGGGTTAACGTAGGGGTACTGTACTGGACTTGTACTTAGGAGACAAGTTCTGGGATAGGACATCGATTAGGAAACAACCGCGTCCTTCCAAGTCGTTTCCAGTTTACCATTCATCAGTAATCCTGCCATTCGGCTCTTTATAGTCAAGATGTTTGTAGCATCGTTAAATACCCCTTCTCTCTCTCTCACACACACACGCACGCACGCACATACACACAACACAAACGCGCGTGCAATTCCCAGTCACGTTGCCTGGTAACGACTTCCACCTGCGAACGTTACCCTTCCACTGGGTTCCCGAACTGTCCCCGTACCTCCCATTTCTCACAATTGTAACTCTCAACTCAGAGTCACAGTTACTTTACGACTGGCGGTTTACTTGCCAGTCAGTTCTTGGCGCCAAGCTCCTTGAGGCTCAAGTCAAAGTCACATTGTGACTGACGGTCAGTCATTAAGTCCTGGGGCCCATGACCAGATATTTATTACTGTTTGACAGTTACGGTTTTGTTTTTGTGGGGCGCCCTCTCTGACGAGAGGACGGATCTTTCTTTTGTATATGCTGCTTGTTCTCGCCAGCGCAGTCTTTCTCGGATCAGTTGTTTGGGACTTGCCATCATATTGTACTGTCTCAAATTTGAGACTTCCCTTTTTGTCGCCCTCTACGACTCGGAGGGTCACGGTGGAGGTATTCGACCCCGCCTCCACGGGTTCTCTTTCGTAATCAAGTCAAAGTCATAGTCACATTGCGATTGACGGTCGGTCAGTCAGTCAGTCCAGTCAGTCCAGTCAGTCCAGTCAGTCAGTCAGTCAGTCAGTCAGTCAGTCAGTCAGTCAGTCAGTCAGTCAGGGTGTCGAGCCCCCAAGATCTCATTACATAGTCTCGGTATGGACCGCACAGAAAACGTCACTTCCGTTATTTCGTGTTGTGTCGTTGCCGGGGGAAGCACAGTGTCCACAGAGCTGTTCCCCTAGAAACGGCTGTTGTGCTGCCGCCTGTATACACTGCTCTTACTTTAGCAATGCGTCTACAGGCCACAGAGTATGTAGAGCGTGTTCCTGCAGTCTGACATGAAGCCTGTCTCCCGTTCGGGAAATCAACAGTTCGAATCTCGAATCAGAATATCACGTGTTTTGTATTATTCAGTCAACGTGTAATATACGTAATATAGAGCAGGTGAGTTTAGTGGCGTGTGTATACGTTCAGCCGATACGTAATATAGAGCAGGTGAGTTTAGTGGCGTGTGTATACGTTCAGCCGATTGACCTAGACCGTTACAGAGGCCGCCGCGCTCCCCACACACGTCCACGCTTCTGCCGCGATAGTGCCGTAAAGTACGCCATGATTGCTGATCATCTGCGCATTTCATTAGACGCTGTGTAACTTCTGTAGGTGCAGAGGTTCGATCACGAGTTTGGTAGTGTAGCAACAGTTTTGGTCCCTATCAGGGTATAGAGGTGAACCGAGTGCAGTAACCCCACGCTTATCCGGAGTAATTGGGGTGAGGGGGACGTCATCAGGGTTAGTGAAGCAAAAGGTATCCTGAAAAGACAAAAGAAAAAAACTTAGAACAGAAATAAATACAAAAAATTTAATGATATAAGGAGTGCTGGTGAAAATAAATACAAAAATATCACTGTAGAGCCTTTATTTAAAAGCTTTAAAAAGACAATACATTTATTCATCGGAATTTACATTTTTAAACGTAATGATGCAGGTATGAAGGAACTATCTCAAGTTTTGTCTGAACAGACAAGTGACTCATCTGCCTTCCAAAATACCATTGTCATGTGGCATGGAGTGACTATAGACGGATTTTGGATTGGTAATTGGATTTAGTAACCACTTACAGGTTGTAACTACAAATAACTATATCACTATCGCTATTTCCACACTTCACAAGAACACGCTAAGTGTTTTCCAGCCCACAGTGTCTTCACTAGTAGTTGCCTGCTAATGGCTTCTAACAGTGGCCAGTCCTCTTTCTGAATGGCGGCTCCCATCCAGCTGCCTGTTCTTCACAGTCGGAGAGAGTTTTTTTTTTACTGCCAATCAGTTCGTCATGGCGACAAGCCCCTTGAAACTTGCATCCAGTAATTTTATTTTCCAAATTAACACTTGCTGTATACTCCTTATGTAACATCCTCTCTGACGAGAGGATGGTCTGTCATTTACAGTTGCTGCTGGTCCTCGCCAGTGCAGTAATTCTCAGGCCCGAGTCCCACGGGACTTATGACCACCTTTTACTGTCAGATTCGAGACCCCCAACCTGGAG